CCCCGGCCCCCACCCCTGAGCGGTGGGTGGGGGCCCTAAAAATAACAATAAGAGGGGACCTACTGTCCCCCCCCGGCCCCCACCCCTGAGCGGTGGGTGGGGGCCCTAAAATTAACAATAAGGGGGGGACCTATTGTCCCCCTCGGCCCCCACCCCTGAGCGGTGGGTGGGGGCCCTAAATACAAAGGGGGGGACCCTAGTCACCCCTCCCCCCCAAAAAAAAATGTATCTCCCTACCTACCCCCCTCACCCTAAAAATAATGAGGGGGGGACCTTTAACTAAAAACCTGTAAAAAAAAAATTGGTAAAAATAACTTACCATTTGATGTTTTCTTTCTTCTACAATCTTCTTTTTTCAGCCCCAAAAAAGGCCAAATAAAAAGCCATAAGAATCGACGCAATAAAAAAAAAAAAAAAAACCCGAGCGCAAAAAAGGACAGCCTACATGAATAGTCAGCAAGGAGCAGGAAGGTAAGGTAAGAAAAGGAGAAGGAACAGAAATGAGCAGGAAGGGACATCAAGGAGCAGAAAGGGGCAGCAAGGAGCTGGAAGGGACAGCAAGGAGCACAAAAGGTAAAGTAGGAGAAGGAGCACAAAGGAACAGAAATGAACAGGAAGGGTCAGCAAGGAGATGGAAGGTAAAGCAGCACAAAGGTAAAGTAGATGGAGCAGAAAGGGTCAGAAATGAGCTGGAAGGGGCAGAAGGAGCACAAAGGTAAAGTAGGAGAATGAGCAGAAAGGGGCAGCAAGGAGCAGAAAGGGACAGCAAGGAGCAGAAAGGTAAAGGAGCAGAAAGAATCAGAAGGAGCACAAAGGTAAAGTAGAAAAGGGAGCAGAAAGGGACAGCAAGGAGCAGAAAGGGATCAGAATGAGAAAGGAGCAGAAGAGCGCAAAATAAGCAGAAAGTAGCAGAAAGGTAAAAGAGCAGAAGGGGCCAAGGATAGAAAACAGTGTCAGAAGAAAAAAAAAAGACTGTCAAATGAAGGTGAGGAAAAGGAGATTGGAGCAGGAAGGACAAATGAAGTGAACCCTCCACTTTATTCTGGACACCACATCATAAGGCTTTGGTACCTGGGCCAGGCAGGGAAATGCTGGACCTTCTCATCTCCAAAGGTAAAAAAATATCAGTATTAATGTGTTCACTTTTATTTACTGAGTGTCAGGAAGCACAGAGTGCCGTTGGGTAGGGGTGTTGCTAATTGGCTAGAGCGGTCAGCTGGCACTCTAAGCCAATCAGTAGCTCCCCATTCATAAAAAAAGTAAAAATATTTTATGAACCAGGAAGTAGCGATTGGCTTAGAGCGTCAACTGTCCACTCTAGCCAATCAGCGGCACCCATGCCTGACGTCAATCTGCACTTCCTGACACTCTGTTTCAGAAGCCAAATACCACTGAGCAACCTGGAGCTGGAGGAAGCCTTTGGGGTTAAACCATTTGAGAGCGATTTAACCCCTTAAAGGAAAGCAAGCACCCAGGGGCTTCCTGGCATCATAGCATTTTCATTTAGGTGAAGTTGTTATGGTGACCAGAATGGTCCTTTAATTTGCTTACAAACATATATTCCTGACACCATAGTTGTGAAAACGCTATTCACCCTGGCTTTATGTGATAATGGCTATGCCCCTTCCCTTTCATGACACTGTCAAAAAGGTACCAAGCATGGATGTCATTACAATTATGCCCCCCCCTGGAAAAATTCCTGCGGACGCCCATGGACAGAATATTAGCTAAAGTAAAATGCCTATTTACTCTGCATAACAACAATCAGTATTATTCAATAAATTACTAAAATGGCCACTAGATGTCCCTCAGGGATACCCCATCCATCGACTGATCACCTCGTGTTACAAGATGGCGCTGGAATCCGGGGAGAACTTCATGATAACAGCAATAATACACCCAGTGGGATGTACATTGAATGCATCACGTGACACCTAACCAATTATTGTTGTATTTTTCTCTGTTATCTATAATTGTGCATATGATGTATTTCTGCTTTATAAGGGGCTCCCCGCCCCCTGATTAAACATTCCTGAGTATTTCATCAACCTGGAAACGTGTTTGGTGTGAAATTACTTCTGGAAAGCATGCATGCACTATAACCAATTTGAAAAGGGGTAGATACACAAAATGATCAAATACTTGATTTGATCCACAACATTACGACTGGCATTTAGATGAACCCATCTTATGTAAGTATAAGTAGAATGTAATAAAAATAATAGACATTCTAGAGCAATATGAAATAAAATGAGGAATTCTTGAAGCAAGTAGTAAAATCAATATAAATGTAGACTTGATAGGGACTCAAGTGCAAGATAATACAGAGATTTTATACCGAATAGCTCAACAAAAAATAATCACAACGAGACAGCACACTAGCATTATTAAAGGGAAAGAATATGTATCGATCAAGAGCAATTTGAAAGTCTTAGAAAATTGGTATTGGTAACACAACAATCAGCGAAGATTACCTAGTGATAAAAGCCCAGCAGAAGGGTAAATTTTTATCGTGTCGCTTAGTCAATCCCAACAGCTTGTCTTGGAGTAAAGGGAATCACACTGTCTATCTACTAGTGATGGATGTTGATTGCAGCTAACTTGGGCAGTGATGTGCGTGTATTATCCTACATTGTTCTACAGGCTGTAACTGCGAGGTGACTCATTTCATGTAAGTGTAGCTCATGTCCACATAGAATTGTAGATCTAAATCCTCATATTACATAGGTTTGTTAGCTCCCACTATAGGAAAGATCAATTGCTTATCAATGAAGTTTTGATAAATCGCAATAATGTTTCTCATTTTCCATAATACTTTTTGCCCGGTCAGTTTTTACAAAGTAAAACAGAGCATTAGAAAATACTTGAAGATCAAGGTTAGTGAAAAAGAGGCAACTATGGTATTTAGTGATGAGAAGTGAATGCAGAAACAAACAAAATGACGTACATGGTGTAACAAATCACATAATAGTGCTTGAAGAGAGATAAAAAAAAATCATTGCAAAATTACACCTGCGGGGCTAGAGTTAACTCTTGCGAGATCTGAGCGTTGCCGCAGCAACGCTCAGATATCGCGAGAGGAACCTGGCGGAGCTTCTGTCTAGAGCTCCCTGGGTCCTCTCCTGCCTCCCTCCATGCTGCTGTGGGCCGGTGAGGTAGATCTTTGGTCTCCCCGCCGGCCCATGAAGGCTTAGAGCAGAGCCGGCACTCAGATAGCGCCGGCTCTGCGTGTGTGTATATATATATATATATATATATATACGTACACACACACACACACTCACAGACACACACACACATACATACTCACAGACACACACACTGACACACACACTCACAGACACACACACACACACATACATACTCACAGACACACACTCACACTCACAGACACACACACACATACTCACAGGCACACACACACACATACTCACAGACACACACACACTCACAGACACACACACAAATTATTATATTTTAATTTTTAAAAAAAATGTCCACCCAGCCTCCTACCTGGAGTGCTGGTGGACTTGTCCCTGGGGTCCAGTGGGGGCGGGCGCCTCTCTGCAGCTCAGCCGCGGCGAGGGAGCTCTCTGCTGTCTGCTCTCTGCTCCCTCTTGCCGCGCGGGCTGTCTGCTGTAGCTGGGAGCCGGAATATGACGTCATATGACGGCTCCCGGCATCAGCGCGCGGCGAGAGGGAGCAGAGAGCAGACAGCAGAGAGCTCCCTCGCCGCGGCTGAGCTGCAGAGGGGGGGGGAATCCATCACCTCTTGCCCTCCCCATGACAGGGGCAAGAGGTGAGACGGGGGGCGCTGAGTGCCTGCAGGAACAGCGTTCCTGCTCAAAAAAAGTGCAGGAACGCTGTTCCTGCAGGACTCAAACCATAGGCGTGCCACGGGGATTAGGGTGTGCCCAGGCACACCCGGCACACCCCGTGCGCACGCCTATGACTGTAACATTAACCCCTCTCTTAACTTGAACCCCCTTTACCGAACCACTTCTAACATTATATTTACCCTGCATCATTTACAAAGCTTTATACACTCAATATAATTACAGATTCAACCACAATACATTACAAGCAAAAATACGTATATATACATTTATACATGTGCAGTTATCAAATATGAATATGGTTTTAGGCCTGCAATGTCCAGTTAATTAATTATTATCCTTACTTTATCTACTTTATTTTTGGTGTTGGGAAGCAGAAGGTCCCTTAGAATTTTATGTCTACAGAAATCTGACATGGAAATACGACCATGAGTCCCAAGAATATGTGCAAACTCGTTTTCCTTTAACGTAAATATATGTTGGTAACTTTTTGCATATTCTGAGAAGTAACAATGCAAACATTTGCAGTCCTGCAAATACCTATAATAAACTCTGATAACAGACTTGCAAAGCGCTGAGTTTAATGCCACTTGTTTAACTTATTGAGCTCTAATGGAGTTCTGTGTTGGATAATTATTATGTGCTGTTTCTACTGTTACTGTGAAGATGTTTAAACACTTACTCTAAATGGACTTTATATTGAACTGGAATAAATTTGCCGATTGTGACTGGATTGGCCCTTCCAGTACATTGTTTGCATTCCTCAGATCAACTCTTATCAGATTACCATATCAGTGTGATGTGAGACTGACAGTGTGCACAATTTTTTTTTTTTTTTACAGAGTAGTTAAAATTGCTTACGAGGTATAGATGCATATCGTTGTAGAAAGAGAATTGCAATCTTTTGAAGAAATAATTTTGAAAAATGTGTGAGCTGAAGAAGATTTCAGTAAAAGAAAAAAACTGAATCTTTCACACAAAAAAACCCTATATATATATATATATATATATATATATATATATATAGTGGAAAATGTATTCATACTTACCATAATCTTCTTTTCCTGGCTATTATTCATGGCAGTATATACATCATGGGTTAGCTCCACTCCTTACAGCCGACAGGAAAGGAAAAACACCAGAGGCTTTAAAAGGAGATACTTGCGTGTTTCTTAATAATGTAAAGAAGATGATATTTCAAGACAGCTGTACGACAAACTAAACATACCAAGCAAAAAATATGCATTTTGGAGATTTTGGCCATAGAACGTTCATCTAATTTAACTAAAGGAAAAGCGTCTGTCTGTAGCATAGTGCACACAGTATATATCATCACCTGTGGTTTACGGCAAGGATTGTGTGAGAAAAATACCATAACTGTGATAATCTCTTTAATAGTTGTGTAGATATTGGTTGTTTACTGTAATAAATAAATAAGAGAATGTAACGCAGTCTGATCAGAATTACTATTTACTAAATGTACTCAGAGCTGTTGAAGCATTGTAATTATGGCTGGCTCCCCATTAATTATACCTTGTCCAGCTGCATGAAGAGCTGTCATTACACGCAAATAATCCCATATAATTATATGGCCAGTCTGCAGAATGCTTGTTAAATAAGTGTTGATAATCTATTAAGATGCATGTATCAGGATGCTGCAGAAGTTGTTCTGTCTGTCAATCTACGTCTTCCTTCACACTCAAAACAGAGCCCTAAATAACCCCAATACCTCTACATCTCAGGCCTTAGTGCTCAAATATTTTTTTACTGCTCTCATAATTCTATCCTTCTCATCCATCATATTCTCTCATTTTCCACCTGCAGGATTTAGACAATCCTGTCCCCACATTGTTCTGTCTGTATCTTGCATATTGTGTATAGTTTTAAAGGAACACTATTGCGTTAGAAATACAAAGCTGTATCCCTAACACTACAGTGTCCCTCCCCCCCATATGGCATAATAAGGATTAAACCCCATTTTCACCTGATTCCAAAGCTGATGTTCCTCTGAGTTAGCTCAAGCTCCTCCACCATCGGTGTCACTGCGATCTGGACACAAAATACACATGTGCGGGGGCGTGGCCTGACAGCCAATGGAGTAGGACGCACGCTGCTCGAGCTCCTAGGCCCCAACCCGTACAAAGCCCGATATCACGGCAATTACAACCGCACAAATAGGGAAAAATAAACGTCCAGCTACCCCTGGGCCGGTGACCCCCAATGCTACACGCCAACAGCCTGGTCCCATGTACGGATACTTGTCCACACCGCATGGCCTCCGTGATACAGGGGACACAGACACACAAGCTCTGTTTTGGGTTGGGGGTCCGGGGATAGCAGGCCAGGTCTCGGGGAGAGGAGTCGGCCGCTGGGTCACGCCAAACATCAATTAGCCAGCAACCGCATGGGAGCACTGGAGTTTGGGGGACAGGGACGGAATAGGACCTGAGGTGACTGGGGACATTGCCGAATTGCCATATTGCCACTTCACTGCCCCACGTAGACCAGAGCCTTATCACCTCATGTGGACACTTCGTAATGGGGTCCATTACCCCGTACGCATGCCATTGACCCACGTGTCGGCTACAAAACCTATCGGGGACTTGCGGATCTGGGGGTTGGAGGGAAAGGGATATGAGAATTCTATGCTAACATGCACTCGAATAATGCTTTATAGGTCTCAGTACAACCAGCTCCCCCC